TAAAACCCTAATTCAATTATAATAATGAACAAATGAATAAATAAATAAATAAACTATTTTTCTAAAGCTTCTTTAAATACTTTCAATGAGGATGCATGCTTGATTTCACAACCCAAGAGGTTCCAAACTCCAGCACCACGATATGAGAAAGCTGGCTGACCATTACTTGTTCTCATTAGTGGGGCTTGAAGATCAGTTGCGTTGTTTCTGAAATTTTTCCTACTGCATGTCGAATTTTTAATGAACATTTCTGACAGGTAATCAGGAGCAAGGTCATTTATCGATTTGTAAACCATGCAAGCTCGTTTTATCATATCTGCTACAGTAGGCCAATTCAAACTTTTAATTAAAGCACTAGCAGAAAAATCATAACTGCTGTTGGTCACAATTCTAGCTGCGCCGTTTTGAAGTTTTTGCAGCACCTGCAACCCTGTCCCCCCACATGCCCCCCAGACTGAGCAGCAGTAGCTGAGATGCGGTTCAATGATACCACAATACATTTTAGAGAGAGTGTCTTTTGGAAGTATCTTCTTGGCATATTTAAGAAATCCAATAGCCTGAGAAACCTTCGATCGTACAAAATGGATATTTTCATCCCAAGCTAAATGTTTATCAATTTGCATCCCTAAATACTTGACCTTATCAACCATTTCAACTTCAGAGCCACCAATAGAAAATAATGGTTGTTCCACTGATTATGTCGAAATCTTCTACAGGTTAGGCCAAAACCCAATGACCATCGCCTGTGTCTTCAGGACATTCAATGATAACTTATTGCCTTGGAGCCATTCCCTTGAAGAATCAAGTTCTTTGTTAAGCGTCATGTTCAGATCGCTGACGTTCCTTGCAGAAAAGGAGATACTGGTATCATCAGCATACATAGTCACCTGGCAGTTGTCCAGACAAAACGGAAGGTCATTGATATAAAGTATTAAAAGAAGAGGCCCAAGACAAGATCCTTGTGGAACACCACAGTGTATTTCTTCTATTCACGACGAAACACCATTGACCTTGCATAACTGCCGTCTATGATGTAAATCATGCATGCTCGATACCAGAAATCCCATATTCCTGCATCTTTTTTAGCAGGATATCATGATCTACAGTATCAAACGCTTTCTTTGGGTCTATGAAGACCAATGCAGTGTATTTCCAGTATCCATGTTCTTATACCAATCGTTTATGTAGGACAGGAGACTTGTTACAACAGAGTACAGGCGTCTAAAACCGGATTATTTAGAAAACAAGTGTTTGTTTGTATCCAAGTACTTATTATAGAGTTGGTTGAAGATAATTTTGTCAAAAATTCTCGTAGGAACAGGGAGAACAGATATAGGTCTGTGATTAGAACGATCATCAGTTTGACCACTTTTGAAAATAGGAGCAACCCTAGCAAATTTCCAACAATCTGGAAAAACTCCTGTGACAATAGACCGATTAAATATATCACAGAGGGAGTCTGAAATAACTGGGAGACCGATCTTTAAAAATGGATTTGCTATGCAGTCAGTGCCAAAACCCATAGCTGTTTTGAATTTTCCCAAGACACTTGCGACCTGGTGTGAATTTACAGGTTGAAAGTGAAACTGTGTTCCTTCTGGATTTACGGAATATTTATTCTCAAAAAGGGGGTTTTGTGTGGCAGGAATTTTATTACTAAGGTCTTCACCTAGGTCACAAAAATAGGTGTTCATATGTTCTGCGATAGCTTCATGATTGAAAAGTTTTTCCCCATCAACATCTAGAGTTGTGATCTGCGTGGTCTTTGACTTTTTGTTTAATACCAAATTGATAGTTTTCCACATACTTTTAATGTCACCTTCATTAGAAGCAATTTTTTTCAAGAAATAATCGCGCTTCAGATCAATATTGACCTTATTTACTTTATTTCTCATTTGTTTATACGCATCAAATAACACTTCAGATTTAGACTTAATAGCTTGCTTTCTCAGTTTGTCCCTTGATGCACATATAAGTTTGAACTCTTTGGTTATCCATGGACAGAATCAAATAAAACTTCAGATTTAGATTCACTCTGATGAAGCCCTGTATGCCGGGGCGAAATATTAGTATACTCTTAAATTTAATTTATTTTGAAAATTTATTTCAAGACATTGGATTCTCGTCATCGTATTGCTTTGTTCCTGTATACCTTTTATTCTAAAATCTCATTGCAAGATTCACAGAATCCGGCGGACAGCCTATCCTGCGGTTCTTCTTCTTCTTCTCACACTTTAGATTTAATAGCTTGCTTGCTCAGTTTGTCCCTTGATGCACATATAAGTTTGAACTCTTCGGTTATCCATGGACAGAATCCTTCTGAAACTCGCCTACTGCGTAAGGGAGCATGTTTCTCAAGTACAAAGGAAAACAAAGATGTTCATTGTTCCACTATGATGTTAACATCATCAGTATGTGAAACTATGCCTTTCCAATCTATTTTTTGCAAATCGTCAAGAAATTGAGCTTTGCTAAGTTTTTCATTTGCCTGGTACTGATATTTTTGTGCAGTTTTTTACCCCTCCCCGAAATTTTTTTACACTGTAGACTAGATAATGATCACTGATATTACTTTGATGTATGTAGAAATTATCTAGTGTACCAACACCAGAACTATCTGCTGGTTCAGAGATTTAATGTTAAAGTGCCAAGAGAACACTAAAGGAAACACAACAGTTGTATCCAGACCTTCTTCATTGTACACCTCGGTACTGATTACCTATCTCTCTATCGCCGTTTCCATCGCTTCTTACCTTACAATCGGACAATTTATATACTTTTAATCTACACGAACTAAATATGTCTACCAATCAGCATTTAGAAAAACAGGATACAAATTTTAGGTCAACGATTTTTTATGAATAACTTTAAAATGCATATACAGATTAATAATACAGAATAGCTTGAGTCAGCCCAAAACGCCGTTAACCAAGTCTATTACGGATACCTACACAAACATTAATTACGCAAGCAACTCTATGAAATAACAAGAAGAAAAAACAAATCTCTACACGAAAAGCATGTACTGCAGTGCTATATTAAATGCGCTGGAATGAAAGGAAAATCCCAACACACTCCCCTCCTTGACTCACTGTGAGTCAAGCATGAACCTTGTTTTCCATTCTGCGTCCTTGGCTGCTGCTCGCCTAGCCCTGGAAGGTGGTAAGTATTCACCCCCATCTTCTTCTCTCTTTTCACGATCTTTTTCTTGCCTGCGACTACCTTTGTCTGCACATCTAACTTCAAATGGATAAAACTTCTGCAATGGTCTATTCAAAAACTCTGGCTTACCCTTGCCTCCAATACGTAACTTAGCACCTCTTACCACTCCGTCTTTTCCGGAAATCAGTTCTTTAACCAATCCCATCTTTCAATTACCTCGTTTTAGATTGTCCTCTTTGATCAGTATGATATCTCCAACTTTCGTCTCAGGGTTATTTCCATGACTCGATCTATGTACTTCTCGTAAATCTGCAAGATATTCCCGTCTCCATCGAGACCAAAAATGATCTCAGGGGTGGATTCAGACGGTGGCACCGGTGGCACGTGCCACGGTCAGATTTCCAAATTTAAATTTTTGGAAAATAATGGACTGTTCTAAATATCCCCAATATGGTCCTTGCTGTCTAACACTTCCCCTTCGCTGCAGCGTCTATCTACCACGCCCCCTCTCCGCTGTTAATTTAGAAGTACGCCATGTTGGATTTGACTCTCAAACATTGACGATTTCAGTGATAGGATTGTGATAGGATACGGTTCATTTTGCGATACTTGCTTATTGTTTGCCTTTTGTTAACCACAGAATAATTGGCTCTACCAAATATGGATAGTAACAATCGTGCCACACTAGATATAAATAGAAATATGCGCGCACATTTTTAAACAATATGTTTTGAGACCAAATGGCTGTGCTTTTGTTCTTGTGCCACGGTCGAGGCTCTGTATGCTTCTGTTGAGGCCCGAGAAATGTATATTGAAATCAATTGCATCGAGGCTCCGTATGTTCTTTCATTAAGTGGCACCGTGGCACAAATATTTAAAAAATGTTCTGTCGAGTATAAACTTGCTTAGGTGATTCCGGTGATTGTTGGGTGCCTAATAAGTCTCTCTTTGAAACAAACAAAACGTGTTCGATCTGTAGAAAACTGACGATTCAGCACGTAAGAATTTTATTGAGTTAAAAGTTTATTGCAAAGATTCTCCTTGCTTTGGCAATGGATATTCGAAGAAAAGTAGAAAAATTCATTAAATCGCGAGACCATGCAGCTTTGAAGGTACTTTTGGTGGACGAGCTGTCGAAGCTTCGCACAAGTATACCTAGGCCTAGTTTAATTTGCCCAGAATTTGATCTGGCTAAAGATAATTGTGCGGAGGTCCTCTTGCCTGACCATGTCAAGATCAAAAGTGGAGTATTTGCATTCCCTGCCAGGTAGCTTACCATTTATTAAACATTTTGTTAAGGTTTATAACCCGTAGGTTTAGCCTTTAAACTCAAAGCCACAAGAGCATCCAAAACCTGTCTTCTTGCACTTAATTGTTGTATACATATGGAATAATGCATGAAGCTATCTCTGTTGAAATGTATAGGTTTCATTCACTTGCTGATTGTTATCCTCAAAGATTGTTATCTCGACAGTAATCAAGAAACTAACCTTATCAGTCTGTGTTGTTTGTACTCTGGTTATTAGGTTTAATGTAGTCTACTGTCAGGAACCTTTGTAACCTCTGAAGTAATTATTTACATGTTAGTTAACATTATTACATCTTGATTATCTCAAAATTTTCTGAATGTTTTTATATGTTTTTGCACAAAATGAGAAATTTTTTCAACTGCAAAAGCTTTATTTCTTGAAAAATGAAACATTGAACCTGAAAACTATGATAACTTAAA